TACAGAATTTTGGCACAACTTAGGAAGGAGGTGTGCCCGAACTAGTGCTACCAAAAGAAGCACAAAACTGGTTGGATAAGTTCACAAAGCATATCCGAGGCAAGAGAGAAGACGTACTTAAACCTAGCAACTTCCACATAAACATGACACATGTTTTATCTACCATGTTTTTCGCCGAACATGATCAACCCGCCTCAATGGAGGGTGATTACTTGGTGATAGAGCCTATGGTGGCACATGTTAGTGTTGAAGAAGCAGGACAATAAGAACAGCCAGACAGGTTTGCTCGAGCAATTAAGGAAAAAGCCTGAGATAATGTATTCTGACAGAATAGTCTTCGGCCGCCCGAATTTGGCCCACGCCAACCATCTCAAACCCATATATGTAACTGCTTATTTGGAAGGAGTACCTTTCAAAAGGGTCTTGATTGATGGTGGAGCTATGGTCAATGTGCTGCCGTACAAGCAGATGCAGAGAGTGTGCAGAAGTGAGGAAGATCTCATCCCCATAGATCTTACAGTTTCCAGTTTCTCGGGAGCTATCACTAGGACTCATGGGATATTACCATTAAAAGTTAACTTGGGTTCTAAACAAATCATGTTGGCCTTTTTTGTTGTAGACAGTACTTCCACTTATGGAGCTTTATTGGGCAGAGATTGGATTCATTAAAGTCTCTATGTGCCATCTACCTTACACCAACAAGTGGTTGTCTACCATGAGGAAAAGGAAGCAAAACTTGGATTTTGGGAGATGGTGGAAGCCGAATCACGGCCATTCCTCCCTACAGCCAACATTGCAGAAGCCAACTTCTACAATCCCAATGTTGGGATTCTTCAATGTTCAGGAGCTGATGAGAACGACTGCCTGACTAAGGTGACGGCCCAAAAGCTTCTAGAGCAAGGGTTATCTTTTACAAGGGAAGAATGAGATCGGCCCCATATCATCCCAACTCCCCGACATTAGTAATGTTAAAACAGAAAATGAAGGACCAAGTGGTGGCAGTCAGATCCTTAATAACAAGAATGTTAGTGTATGGGAGAGAGAAAACAAGAGAGGGAAAACTCAACCAATGACCAAGTGATCAGCCCCATATTTTTCTTATTATGCAACAGGTTACCCACATGTATATCTGGACCGACCCGTTAGCTTAATAAATGTTTATCAGGTTAGTCGATAACGATCTGATTCGTTATTGTGTCGACCGGAAAACCTGTTAATTTCGTGTCAAGTTAACAGGTCATCTCAGAAATTACCATAAAAATAGAGTTCCAAAAGGAATTGAGTCTTTAGAGTTAGAGAAATATTTTGTTGAACAAAACCTGTTCATCTTCTTCTTCCCCTCCCACTCGAGCAAGCACATCCATCTTCTCCTTCTTTCTTCATTACCACCACCCATTCAAACTTGAACGAACCAATAACGATCTCTATCTAATAAAACTATAATTTGGTACTGAAATCAGGTTAGGGTGGAAATGGCGGATGGGGTGGAAGATGGTAGGGATTTTGGGGACTTGGGGTTTTGGTGGTGGTGCTAGGAATCTAATTTATAGGAAGTGGGCTCGAGTTCTGCCATAGCTTCCAGATTTCATCTCCACCACTACTGGTTCTTTATGTTACTGGATCAGGGATACCTTTGCGGATTGTGGGGTGAAAGGTAGTCAGGTGACTGTGATGGGTGGGTGATGGAGGTGGTTTCCAATGGGAAGAATATGAGAATGTTAGCTAGGGTCGGATGGAGGTGGTTGCTCAAAGTTTGAAACGGTGGTGATGATGGAGAGAGAAGGAAGTGATGAAGAAAGAAGGAGGAAATGGAGATGGAGGTGGGAGGGGAAGAAAAAAACAACTTCTTTATTTTAAATAAAATATTTTTCAATATATTAATTTTTTTTTTCTTAATTTTTTTTGTCCATGTTTTAATTTGATATTTTTTTAATATATTTACAAAGATTTTTTGTTCAATAAAAAAATTGAGTTTTTTTTTTTAATATAAGGGTAAATTAGAAGATTTTTTTATTCAAAGGGTTATGTGAAAGAGAATTAAAACTTGAAGGGATGTTAGTCTAATGTCTCGAACTTGAAGGGGTTTTGTAAAAACTCGATAAACCTCAAGGGTGTTAGTGCCAACACTCCAAAACCAAAAACTTCAATCAATTAATTCATTAATCTATGAATGAATATAGAAATAAAACAATGGAACTTTAACGAAAAGCTTCCGGTACTGTTCACTTTAACGAAAAACTACATTTTTACAAGTCAATCCTGGTATTATTCATTTTACCCTTTATTTTGTCCTTATCATTAAAACTCAAAGTTTTCAAGCCATTTTCATTAGTTTTCCCGTAAAACAATCATAATAACCCGATTAAGATCGATCTAAACCAACCTATTATGATTATATGTCATGAATCGCTTGTTCATTATTTATCCCAAGCTCATTATCTATCCCAAGCTACCTAGACAAAATAGGGGCACCTTTTTATAATTCGCTGCATGGGAGATTCTACACACAAAATCATTAACACAACTAGTACGGGACACCCTTTGAATACATGAAGTTATGGCTTTGAAGAGGAACTGTGAAAGAAACAAATGAATAATAACCAATAAAATAGAAACTTTGGGAATAAAGTCACCAAAAAAACTACCAATTTCACCATGATAGATTGCACCAGCGCCACCATAAGATATGGACAAAAGACACAAGTCCACAATAGACAAAAGCCAGAATAAGAGCATCTTTAAAAGAGAAATCAAATGTAAAAATCAAAATAATATTTGATGGCTTATGTGGTAATTTGATATTTTGTACAATTTTTTGCTCCACACGATATGTTAAATAAAAATATCATTCTATAATGTGTTTCATCTCTTTGTGGGGTCTAGTTATTGAGACAACCAATCAAATACTGAAAACACATAACATCATTCATTATGAATTGCATCACCCCTATTAAAAAATTATTAAATTAATTTGATAGCAGCTATCAAATTTGAAAGCAAAAGGCTTGACGTCAATTGACTTTGCTCCACGTTAGAAACAGAAGGCTCGGTTGGAGAGAGTTGTTGCCATTTTCTACTGTTGTATGTCTATGTGGCAGTAAGGATGGAAATGGCTCCATTTGGGGATGGAAATTCCATATCCATCCCTATAACTACCAAAAATTAACAATATCCATAACCACAAATTAACCATCAGGATTATCCATAATCATACCTACTGGGTAACAGATTCTCCATCGATTACTGGGTTACATCCATCTTCATCAATGCAAAAAAATTATGTGTTCAACTAACAAATTATAATTTAATTGATACTAATTCCGTCATTGAATATCCACATTCAAATTAAAAAAAAATTTAAAAAAAAAAAAAAAAAAAAAAAAGATGTTCATGATAAGCCAAATAAGATAGTAAATTAAGACAAATTGGTTACATGAAAAAAAAAAATTAATTGATGACAAAGTCAAATATAACAAATTATCAAATAATTTCAATACTTGTGAGTATATTATATTATTAAATTATTTGGGATGGATTCGGGGTCGAATAGGGATTAGGAACCTCTATAACCATATCTAAAACCGTAACCAAATAATATTCACAGTTTTTCCTCATATCTGAAAAAATAAACGAAATTTCATCCTCAAATCGATTCCATTCAAACGGTTATCCACGGTTGTCAAGTTTAACGTGTATTATTCTTATGTGACAGTTTTGACATCTTCTTTGCTCTAACATCTTTTTCTTTTCTAAAGACAATTAGAATAATCACTCTTAATAAACGCGCACGGTGGAAAAAGATATGGGAAACTGCCATGCAAAGAATTTTGGAAACAAATTAATATCCTGTCCCAATGACCATTAACATCTAATACAGCAACTAGCATTTCATTAACTAAATTAATGAGTATAAGACAATCTTGCTTTTATTACTGTGTTTTATAATTACTATCCATGCTTATATTACTGTGTTTTATAATTACTATCCAAATTGAAAACCTATGTGCTTTTTTTTACTGTATAACAAAATCGTCTCCGACTACTTTTTCTTTTGATTAAGAAAGTGATTTAGATGAGTATAAAGTTTGATAAAAGCTCAATGGTGGAAGTATCTTTAAGCATTAATTTGAGTGTGGGTAAGGGTAACATGCTCAGTGATAAGTAAGCTGAAAAACAATGGCCAATGATCCACTTCCTGAGGTAACCAGGCAAATCCAGTAAACTTCTACAATTATATACCCACCATGGTCAAAATTTGTTGATTTGAAGAATATTCTAGGCAAAAGTGGTCACACATGCACATATGTATTATACACCATTCTTTTAGCCTAGCTAGCCATTTTGCTCCACACAAGTCCCTATGATCTCTTTATTTTGCCACTAAATTTCCACGGAGAGAGAATATTTACACAAAGTAAGTAAAGGGTTCTTAATTTGCTACGCATTGTGGTTAAGTTAGCCATTTTTGTGCAATCCTCATTGTTAAATTTGCGAACGTATGTTTTGGGAAATTAAAATGATAAATAGAAGTCGTAGAGGTATAAGAAGTAGAGTTGTTGTGGGGTTGCGGAGATTGGTCTGGTATCTGATGCAATATATAAACATGTGCTGGCTCATTGTAACAGAAAACAAGAGAGTACATAACTGTTAACACGGAACCCATCAAACTGGTCCCCTCTGGCTCGTCTGTTATTTCTCATCTCTCTCGCATGACTTGATCGGCACTCTTAATTTAATTATTTTTCTCATTTCTTTCCCAATAGTTAATTAGTTAATTATATATGCACTCTATCTATAGCTTGCAAAAAACATATAGTCTCTAGTAGTGTGAGAGAAAGAGAGAGATGGATCAGCTGCTATTGATTTGATCTTCTCTTTAATTTTGTAACTCAAAAAAAAAAAAAAAAAAAAAAAAAAAAAAAAAAGAAGAAGAAGAAGAAGTCAGTGGTTTGATTAGGGTTTTAGGGAGGGATAGCTCGTTGATCTTGAGATACACAACCATGGAGCAAGAGATGGTGGTGGATATAGAGTCTCAAACTAATAGAAGGCCCGACAGTGAAACCCCCGGTATGTTCAAGAAAGCCATTCAACCAGTCACAGTGAAGGTAAATAAATATAGGAGATATGGTTTTGGGACCAAAAAATTAAATCAAGCATTTTCTTTTTTTATTTGAATAGCTCAAGATTGATGATCAAGATCCTATTTTCTTTTTTCTTTTTTTCTTCTTGAAAACCCCTAATAGTATTTTCATAAGGTTAAATCAAAATTTAAACCAAATTTGCAAACCAAATAATATGTCATCAATAGAAAATAAGCACATTAATCAACGTTTAAGTAATCATTTAATCATAAAAAACCACATCATTTGGTTTGCAATGGTGGTCGTAGCATTATCCTTTTCATAATTAAGCTAATGGGTATTCAAATTTCGATCAAAATCACAGTTTGAAGACGTGGTTTACAAGATCAAAGCCAAAAAGAACACCAAGTCCGAAGAGAAAGTGATCTTAAACAGCGTCAACGGCCTAGTTAAACCCAGCGAAATCCTAGCCATGCTCGGCCCCTCTGGAAGTGGCAAAACAACCCTCCTAACCGCACTCGGAGGTAGACTTGGCGGCCAGCTTGGTGGTTCCATAACCTACAACAACAAACCCTTCACAAACACAATGAAAAGAAACACTGGCTTTGTAACCCAAGACGATTTTCTCTACCCGCATTTAACCGTGACCGAAACCCTAGTCTTCACGGCACTTCTTCGCTTGCCCAACACGCTATCCAAGCGAGACAAGGTCACGCAAGCCTATGCGGTGATTACACAGCTCGAATTAACCAAATGCAAGAACAGCGCCGTTGGTGATCAGTTCATGAGGGGTATTTCGGGCGGGGAGAGAAGAAGGGTTAGCATAGGGCAAGAATTACTCGTAAATCCTAGCTTGCTCTTCTTGGATGAACCCACGTCGGGGCTTGATTCGACAACAGCGCAGCGAATTGTATCGGCACTATGGGATTTGGCAAGTGGTGGGAGGACGATCGTGATGACTATACATCAGCCTTCAAGTAGGCTGTTCTACATGTTTCATAAGGTGATGCTGTTATCGGAAGGGAACTGTTTGTATTTTGGGAAGGCAGGGGAGGTTATGGACTATTTTTCGGGCATTGGGTACGCTCCCGTGATCGCTATGAATCCTGCGGATTTTCTATTGGACCTTGCTAATGGTACGTTTCATATTTGATTGAGTAGCTGTTTAATTACTTATTTCAGCTGTCATGTAAACTTCCAAATTAAGGTAAATTTCTAGGAAGTCCATTAGGGTTGATCGGAGAGACCCTAATAAAAACCTATAAATGTCTTGGAAATGTCTGTAACTTTGTCACGTTTGTTAGGGGAACAAATTCTGATTATTAAATTCCATGAGAAAATGAAATTATTGTCATCCCCATAAGTTAATCTCGTGTTTGCAACCCTACAAGTGAGCATGCATGCAGGTGTGTTTATAAGTGCACGTGTGTGCAAGTTTACAAACTTTATATGTAGGTTTGGGGAGAAAGACTTATGTGGCACAAGTAAACCGTGTAGCCTTTTGGTCAATCATACAATGCGATTTGTAAGTTTTTTTATGCATACGTAGTCTGTATCGTGACATGGAATGTTACATTAATTAGTAGCTAGTATACTCTCACCATGAAAGTTAGCTCTTAGATTTTGGCCCACAAGAGTGTTAAAAGTGGATATCTCATGTTTCTGAAATTTTGTGAGAGTAATAAATATTACATTTTCTGCAGGTCTGGCACCTGATGGATCATATGAAAATAAGAGCAAGGTGAAGCGGAGTCTGGCCTTGGCCTACAAAAGCAATCTTTTAGATAGATTGAAAACTGAACTTCAAGAAACCAATAACTGCAGTCAATTTCAAGAGGGATCTGCAGAAGACAAGAAGTTTGGAAAATGGTCCACAACTTGGTGGCAGCAATGCTCTGTGTTGCTGAGGAGAGGAATGAAAGAGAGGAGGCATGAGGCCTTTTCTCGTCTCAAGATTGGTCAGGTGTTGGCTGTGGCTCTTCTTGTTGGCCTACTATGGTGGCAATCTGATATTGCACACCTGGAGGATCAGGTATACTAAAACTTATGTCATCTCATTTTTCTAGGATTTGCAGCATCTAGTTTCATAGGATTTTTAGGTCAAGATTTAGTGTTAATAATGTTCTAGTAAAAGTAGGGAGACCACATAATGCAGTAATTATGAATTGTTTGTGTCTCAACGTAACTTCCACTGATCTAAAAATCCTCGTCTAGGCGCTAGACGGCTGGTTACTTCCCCGATTAATGCCCAGACGTTTGAAATTTAAGTATTCAACAAGTCTCTTACAATTTATTGAAAAAAATAGAATGCAAATGAAAGTTATTTATTTTCTTCTAAGTGAGTCGCAACCTAGATGGTCTAGGCAGGTGCCTCAACAGACCTAGTGTGTTTAGGCGGGCCCAGCCCGCCGCCCAACTAGCGCCTAAAGTCTTTTAGAACCTTACTTGTCACATATATAATGTGTTTCCATTACTGTGATTTACTAACATTATTTTTTTCCTTTATTTTGATCGATATCCTTCAGAATGGTAAAACAACGTGGTTCCTTTTCTGGGTTTGGGACAATTGTGGAAAATATAGGTTGCATATTAAACCCAAAGAAAAATAATACTAAATCTCTACAACTTGTTTTATATACATGTCAATAACTTTGAAATTTGGGTTTATGCATATAGCACGACATAAATTATCACTTAAACCAATGCTTAAGCATTGTAACCATTTTTTGCAACTTGATAATCTTGTGCTGCTGTGTATGCGTGCAGATTGGGCTTCTCTTCTTTATGACTGGATTTTGGGGTTTCTTCCCACTGTTCCAAGCGCTCTTCACCTTTCCACCGGAGCGCAAGATGCTAGAAAAAGAAAGAGCTTCAGGTACATACAGACTCTCCTCCTATTTCGTGTCAAGGATTGTTGCTGACCTCCCAATGGAACTTGCTCTTCCAACCCTATTTGTCACCGTAGCATACTGGATGGCAGGCCTCAAACCATCGGCCGGAAACTTTTTCCACACCTTGTTCGCTCTGCTCCTCAGTGTTTTAGTAGCTCAAGGCATGGGGCTTGCTATTGGGGCTTTGGTTATGGATCAGAAAAAGGCAACGGTTCTCGCATCAATCATCATGTTGTCATTCAGTCTAGCTGGTGGCTACTATGTTCAACATGCTCCTGTTTTTATTTCTTGGATCAAATATATATCACTAAGCAACTACACCTACAGGCTCTTGCTGAGTTCTCAGTACAAGAAAAGTGATACCTACCCATGTGATGGTAGGGTTTGCTCAGTTGGAGATTTCCCAACTATAAAATCTTCTGGTCTCAATGGACAATCGAGTGCTGTGGTTGCTTTGGTCATTATGCTTGTGGGTTACAGGTTCATCGGTTATTTAGCCCTCATGAGGATTGGTGTTACAAAGAAGTACCCTTAGACTCTTAGTTAATAAGAGGATTAAATATTACAAGCTAGTTAATTTGGTTTGTGGGTAAGACACAAGAGGTTTACAAATGATTAGAACTTCTAGATTATATATCCAGTTCGATCGTTTGGATAATGTTTGCTTCCGAAGTTAATGTCCTGTTTGGTTTGATTGTATCCTAAATAGGGAGACACATGTGAGATATAAATTTTCTATAAGAGTATTTAATTAGCAGGGGTAGAGAACATGTAAAATTTGGTGGGCTACTCTGACATTACATCTATGAATAAAATTGTGACGACTAGTACTTTCAGAACAGTTAGAAGCTTTGTTGTTTTAAATGCTGAAAATGGTATTTCATTCATGATTCAGTTAAATGTCCCTATTCTATAAATCAACGGTTGTTGAAATTTTCGTATCCTCTAGTTATAATCCTTTGTCCATCTAGAGAAGCAAGATACCATCTTTCCTTGCTACTTGCAAGAAAATAATCCCTCATTCAAGTACGGTATCATAACTTCCATCCCTATTGTTTGTGAGTTTGTTTAGGTTCTAAGTTTTGAGGTACCAAAATTTTCTCTACGATACATGGTAGTGATCAGTAACTATGTATTACTTCATTTTAGGTACACTTTCTAGAGTTTAGGATGCATGGGAAGTGGTTTCTTTGATGCTTAATTTTCGTCCCACAAGTATGTAGATTATCCCACATTGTACATAACATTAAAGAAAACCACATTGGAAAATTTTCAGTAAAGGGAACATAGCACACTCGAGCGAATGAGAACATACAAAACTTATGGCTCGACTACAATGTAATCCTTCATTACACTATCCATAAACCATAGAGGGTCGACATGTGAGAAACCGTACTTCTGAAGGCTAAACGAGCACTTTGAAACGCCACCGCATTAGCCCCTCCTGAAATATGAGTCACAAGAATGTGGTGTTGTAGAATGCAAAGACAAACTTCGTCCTCATACCTCCCTTTTGCAAAGCACTCATTTTCCAGATTACATCTGCATAGCTATAGCTGAATCCAATTCCACGATCAGAGGCATCAATGAAGCATATATTTATTGCCAATTCCAACAATCGAGTAAAGTTCAATAGCTAACACGGAGATCAAACTTGGAACTCTCATTTTTACAAGACCTCTAATAGCTCCAATGTTATCTATAACCACGTCTAAAGCCACCTGTTAACTTCGTAAAGCGAACCCTATAATTTACATCATTTTCTCCGAAAAAAAAACCATTCAAACATTCCATAGCCCTTCGCATATCCAGCCTGAAAACAATTTTTTCTGCCTGATTTACCTTTCCTTTTCAAACAAAAACTGACTCAAAGGTTGCAAGAATATCGAGGACGGGTTGAATTGATTCTGCAAAAATGATCAAGGACGAATTGAACTGATTATGCAAAAATGGTCAAGGATAGGTTGAAATGGTTCTAGTAATAAATGATACACTAATTTTGCATATAGTTTCAGAACTGATTCTGCATAGTCACAAAATGGGTTGAGCTTATGACACATATTAATTTTGTTGGACTTATGAGGGTCGGATTCTATAAGCCTTAGAGATATAGCTAGTATTTTAAAACATTGTTTCCATATTTTTAAGCTGGGCTTTAGTTGTTTTTATGTTTTTGTCTCTTATTCACGTGTTTAAAAACTAGTAGAGTTCCTTGAAATATAGTGAAAGTTTTTGTCTCTCTATAGAAAGCTCTCTAAAAATAATATACCCACGTATTTATTAATATATTTTAAGAAATAATTGCTGATATATTTTAAAACATAAAATAAATACAATGTAATTAGCATGAGTACATTCAGCAAAAATTTGGTTTAAACATCAATCTATCACCGATTTAAAGACTTTGTTACGACATGCTAATATGCTTTTTGCCTAAGTCAATCAAGACTCTATTTGCTTGTATGTGCAACTGATCGCAGATCTGTCAATTATTTCAGATGTTCTTTATATGATTAGAGGCAATAAGTTCTACAAGGGCACAACTTTGATTCTTGGTGGCAGTCAAGGTTTAGCGTTATAAGTTACATTAGGGTTTCGCTTAAATGTTGTCATGTGCATAGTTTTCTTTTTTGGGTATTACTTGGCATTAGGGGTGGGCACGGACCAAGCCAAGCCCAATTTTGAAGGAACCGGACCAAACCTGGGTGCAAATGAAACAGGTCGGGCTGGACCGGGAATAGTAGATTCTAATATTGGAACCGAACCTAACCTAGCCCGGTTGAAACAGGCCGATTCAAGACGGGTCCACGGGTCCTTGGTTTTTTTTTTTTTTTTTTTTTTTCAGTGCAGTGCAGATTTTGCACTACGCCCTGCACAGATCTCTGAGTACGAAGTCATTCCATTTGAAATTGATTAAGAAATGCCAGTTCCAGCTCAGAATTCAAAGTAAACAGGCCAACATGTATAGCAAAAATATATCTTTACACGGCTAGATGAGAAGATAAACTAGAAGTCAACTAATGGTACTCCCATAAACACATGATACGACGGCAACAAGTGAACTAATATGTTTTAATATACAACAATTCATCAGAAACAGAAATATGCAAACTACTAAAATCAAGAATTTTGTAGCTTTCAAGTAAAGTCTAGGTCAAACAGATCATGACACATAATCAAGAACAAATAATGAGTATACTGACTTCGGATTCTTCCTGTTCTTCTTCTGATTCCTCTTCAGACTCTACTTCTTCCTCCTCTTCGGCTTCTTCCTGACACTATCAAAGAAGTATACCCTTAATACCCAGCAACGCACAAAACTTAAATTCATCCATATGCGAGAGAAAGAGGGAGACATAGTAACAGATGGGGCAGGGTGGATATAATCAACAGAGCCACTAATAGCTCAATCGTACGTTGCAAACAATGATATCAATGACACAAGAAACTTCTCTTTCTTAAAATGGTATTTAAGCAAAATTACTACATGAATCTATCAATACCTGTGTTACCGTAGCTAATATCCAACCATATTATACTGATTTGCTTCTTTCAAAATACTCTTACATGAATTGTTGGAAAGTAATCTCATAAATGGAAACCAAGCACTTAATAGTTTCCTACATTCATGGCCTGCCCATGTCATTCTTACTTTAAGTTTAATGTGTGTGTGATCAATAGAACTTATTGACTCAAACTCCTACTCCCAATGGCAGCCCACAATAGGAGCAAATCAATAGAACTTATTGACTGTTTAGAGCTCGACCCCAAAAGGAGGAAAACTATAACATGCTGGTTCCACAAATGAAGAAGGGGCTGCACGCTTGTTCCAGAAACGTGCATCAGGGACTGGGGTTAGATGAGGGAGCTGAAACCCCATTTCCACATGCATCGAAAAAGAATACGAGAATCCTAATTTCAAAAGGATAATACTGAATCTACTCCACCCATCAGGGTATCCTGTGATGTTTAGATTCTATTTAGTTTTATTGTACTGATGCTTAACTTGGTATTCATATAGTGTTAATACTATCACATATTTACAGAACAATAATCCAGAAATCTGAGGCATTTATGCATTTCCACTTTCATTTAACACTTCCAAATACCAATATTTACAGAACAATTACCACATATTTACAGAACAATTAAACGTCAATAACCGGAATACTTGCTTAGGGTTTTTACTTAGATGCGAATCACTCAGTCCACAAACCAATAATACGAATCAAATAAAAGAGAGACGCGAGATCGAACTGTTTGTTAGGGTTTTTACCTGAGAACGAAGAGGCTGCGACGAGAGAGAGATTGCGAATTCGAAGAGGAGAGAATCGAGGTTCTGGGACCTGGGTTATCTGGGTCCTGGGATGTCGTCGCGGAGGATGGCTGGTGGGTGGTGCCGTTGTGTTGGTTGCGGCGGCGGTGATGGGCTGGGTCCTCTGGGATGTCGTCGGAGTCCAGGGATTGGAAGTGACGGACGGTCGTGGTCCGTGGAGAGGTGGGAGTGAGTGAGAGACAGATCAGATTCTGGAAAATGGAAATCTGGACGATTAAAGGTAGGGTTGAAACTAACGGTTCAGATTGAATGATAGGGTATCATTCAATCTCAACCGTTCATTATAATTAGAAACGGGTCGGTCCAGGGCCCCGTTTTTCTAGGGTTTAAGACCCGGCCCGTCCCGTTTAGTTTCTAAAACATTTGGAACCTGCCCGTACCCGCCCCGACCCATGGTTCTTGTACTCGTTTGTCCACCCATACTTGGCATCATAAATGTCTATAGACGTCTTGATGTATGATTAAAACCTATCTAATGAAATATCGTTTCTTGAAAATATAAAAATTAAAATAAAATAAAAAAACTTAATCCTTAAAAGATGATGCCCTTTTTTTATAGAAACGATTCAATGTTGTGATTTACTTATGCACCAGGTCCAAAAATTTTAATTAAAATAAAGATTTGCCAATGCAAAAGAAAAATAACCCAAATTCATAATAATTAATACCAAAAAAAATTAAAATGAAGACGAAGGCAGGTATTGCTATGGTCAAGTTGAAAAGTCGCTGTTTTCTATGTATGCCTCACAATATTCACGTTTATAGCAGCAAAATGAAGTGATGCGGATGAGCTAGCTTGCATGTACATATGGAGTTGAAAATCTTCAGGTACAGACGGAGAATGTAGAGTTAAGCAACGACGTAATCATCGATCGATCCCAATTAATCATCAATTTGAAAATTAAGAAAATCGTCAAGTTAAAATGTTTACTAGTACTCCCCTTATTAACTATTACGGTGTTAAATTAGAGAGTCAAAATGTTGGTGTTAAAGGATGCATATAGTTAGAAAACTGATAAGATTGGCTAGAAAAGTCTAACATATGTATGAATTCTTCGTTACCTATAATAGAATAACCACTTAGAATACTTTAACAGTTATTTATTAAAATCCTCCTTTGACAGAGAAGGGTGGATCGTTTTACTAATAATATCTTCAGCTCCAAAATGGAGTCATTGGTCTGGATTTGAACTTTGGATGTCAATAAAATCCAAAAGCAATATGAAATTGTATGTCTAATCTGGTTAAGTTTTGAAGTTGAATATTCAAGCGAAGGTACGAACTAATTGAACAGTTTTTTTTTTCTCTCTCTCTCTCTCTCTTAATGATGGGATCTAAATTCAAAATTTATTAATTTGAGTGGTCAAGGTAGTTTGTTTGGAACAATAAACCTTTAAAATGATTACATACTATAACCTCTTTTTGTCTAAAGAATTGGATTGGAATGGATAACCTTCTGAGTTCAAGGCATATTGAGAAAATGGGGATTAGATCGACATGAGATGGGGATTAGACATGAGAAATTAAACATGATATGGTAATCATGTATTGGACTGGTTGTCACATCTTACTACACTTTAATCCTTTTATCTTTAACAAAATATCTACTCGTGTGTATTTGTACATTTTCTATTGGCTAGGACCATTTGGTTTCGTATCTACGAATCAAGTCTATGTATGTGTCCTCTCTTGATTAGTAGCCAAAAGAACTAAAAGTGGTAAAGAAAGCCAAAATATCTAAAAGTGGTAAAGAAAGCCAACATAACTAAAAGTGGTAAAGAATATACGACTCAGATTTTTATAAATCATATATGCGTGGCATTTAGAATGGGGTGTTCAATAACTTAAAAGGAAAAAAATAACTATTAAGATAATGCTTGATAAAGATTTTCATAAATCACACTTTTCTTAAGCATTTTGCAGTTTGCACGCCTTTTTTATTTATGATCACTGGAGTGATTAAATCAAACGAAAGCAATAAACATAGTTAAACATAAGGCTATCTCCAAGAGAGGGGGAGGGTGGAAAACAAAAATCCAAAATTTAGGCCAAAAATATCTCCAAAGGATGTATTTTCCACGTGGGCCTTGCGTAACAGATGCATTAGACTAGACAAATTGTTTGCGGGTGAACGCACAAAACTCATTCCTTTTACGATCTAGATTATAGAGTCGTTGTCAATGGCCTGCACGAGCTCCTATGTAACATCCCACATCGTCCAGGTGAGTGATCCTTAAATGTATATTCCCATCCCTACCTAGCACGAGGCCTTTTGGGAGCTCACTGGCTTTGGGTTTCGTAGGAACTCCGAGGTTAAGCGAGAAGGGGGCTAGAGCAATCCTATGATGGGTGACCCACTGGGAAGTTGCTCGTGAGTTCCCAAAAACAAAAACCGTGAGGGAATGGTAAGCCCAAAACGGACAATATCGTGCTACGGTGGTGGAGTCGGCCTGGGAAGTGATCCGCCCCGGGTCGGGATGTGACATCCTAGTTTTGATCCATTGTGACATGACTAGCCACATCAATTTCCAACGGTTGTGATCCAAAAACTCAAATCTAATTTAATCAATTTTAACGTAAGCTTAAATTTAAAGCTAACAATCAAATAATAATGTTAATTAATCCAAATCAAATTCAACACCAAAAATCTTCTGAAACTCTGTAAGTACTCCTTCATTTGTTCACTAACTGATATATTTTCTCAAAAATATTTTTTTTTTCGGAATTTGATTTTTTTACATCAAAATGTTCGTAAAAATAAAACAAGATAGCTTATACAAAAACTAATTCTAAAATTATTAGCAAAAAAAGAATTTAACAAAATAAAAAAAATTAACAAATTATAAAATTGGGAATGGAAATTATAGGTCGCTTACCGTCTGAGGAAAAAACTAACTAACTTCAAACTTATGAATAGTTAAAAATAGGGGGCTCAATTCTGGGAGTTTAGACGCTGGAGTTAGAAATGGTCTAATTATGTAAAAAACTAAAAATGATGAGTTTATCATTTCAAATGACAAACTATTCCGCTGTAAAAGATTATCATAATTTGAAATATGATTATGCTTGAAATTACAATTTTGCAGGTGCGTCAATGTCACAACATTAAGATGGAAATATGCCATAAACAAAAAAGTTTTGGTCAAATCTATCAAAACCAAATTTTGAAACGAACAATTATTAAGCATTGTGAGTCAAAGCGCAAGTTCAAGTCTTTGAAGCAAAACTAAAAAGTAGGTGCCGAATCTTTGTTTCGCATGACAAGTTTTATGCCTTTTTTCAAAGCCAAAGCCGTCCAAAAGCCACACAAAACCATTCAGCTGCCGCCACCTAGCACTATACAATCCGCACGTGGCAGAAATCAAAGTCCCCAATCTTCAAATCTAACTTAACACCCAATTGCCCCACATTTGCTTGTAGCCTTGTAAACTTGCCATTTTATTTTACACAAAAAACATCGACTCCTACTTGTACTGTCAAAACTTGATCCCCGCAGACACCACTTGTGATATATTAATCTTAACCCTCCTCTACGTGCCCCCATTTGACCCACGAAATATATTGTTGTTAGATGGCCACGTTTGCACTAAGTAGAAATTCGAAATATATCAAAAACTTTCGGCAGCCCTTTCCACCTCTCATATCTTGACCGTGCCACATCATCAATTTTAACAAATTCCCAATATAATTTAAAATAAATAAAAGAAAATTAATGAAAATAGTTTGAAAATTTTGAATTTTAATTATAAAAACAAAATAAAGAATAAAGTGAATAGTATCATAATTAGTTTTTTAATGTAAAAATATGATTTTTCGTTAAAGTAAACAATATCGAAAATTTTTTGTTAAAATTCGCATTAAATAAATCACAGAACAAAAAGTCCAAACCCATGTATTAAAAATGCCATCATATCATACTTGTAAGCTAGCTCTTAGTGGCTGATGAGTGAAAGAAACCCTAATTCCTCACCTACCACACACGCACACGCACACGCACACGCACATCCAAAAGAATAATATTAAAAAGAATGAAACTTTAACCAAAAATTCTTAATACTATTCACTCTAACGAAAAATCATATTTTTACTCTAAAAGGTCAATCATGGTACTATTCACTTACAATACATTTTTGTCTTTTTCGTTAAAACTCAAAGTTTTCAAAACTCTTTTCAATAGTTTTTCTTAAAATGAAAGCAATAATATGAACAACAAATACAATAATTTAATGGTTTTCTTTTATTTTAACAAGTAAGATATTATCTATTGCGGTGAAGGAGTGAGATAATTCTCTAAATAAGCTAGTAATAAAATGGTTCAAATTTATGTTTGGTGAGAAGCGAATCTAAAACTTCTCACTTACAAGTGAAGAAAAATGCTACTAGACAATAATATTAAGTGGCAGTACTTTAATGGCTAAAAAATTTAGATTATACAGAAAATTTTATTTCAATTAGAATTTTGAGAAATGTTAACGACACTATAAAAAGTGAGACTCTTCATAAACTATTTTACACAATATTTTTTATTTTTATATGTAAATTAATTAGAATTTATAAGGAATCTCACGTACAAAGAGTCTCTCTAGCAGGTGTAATTCTCAATAGTTTACTTCTTAGATTTTTAGTAAATATAATAATTTACTAAAATTTAACGGTTAAAAAGGAATAGTATACCAATAAAATTCCCACCGTAACCCAAATTTCTTATGCCACCTCGACACCGTCACACCTCTTTTTTCGTTGTCTTTTCCTATCAACCCGAGATATTTTTTAATGCGATCAGAATACGAGATGATACATTATGTGTTATTATACAAATAATAAAATATATATATCAAAAAATTAGTAATTTTAAAAATAAAATTTCATATTACTTATATAAAAACACGTAGTATATATTCCGATCATAATGAAAAATTTCTCTTATCAACCTTCCCATCTTTTGACAAAATACCTGCCTAACTTGGCTCCAATCTGTCCACGTGTCGGCACGTGTCCCATGCTTCCTACGCCGACGTCGGTTAAAGCACGCGTGGAAAACGCCTCACAGACTTTCAAAAGATCTGCGAACCACCGCCTTTCGCGCCAAATTTTTTTTTAATTTCGCCTCCTTCTGACACGCGTCCGATTACGGGATGTGTCACCACAGTAATATTCTGAAGGTGCACGCGCCGAAACCTCCCGGAACCTTACTCGTTATCGGATAAGGTCGGGCGCAGGATAATGTCGAACTTTAAAAGGGGGCGCGTGGCAGTTTTTAAACGGTGAGAAACTCTGGTGGGCCCCAACCATTCTGCAGCACGACAAATGGACCGTACTTATCCCCCTTCCCTTCTCCACTATATATAACCGCCATATCTCGGAGATCGAAAAAAAAGAAAAGAAATAATATTTGAGGATTTGGAAACTTCAGAAATTTCAAATCTGTCTCTCTCCTCTGTTTCAACTTCTCTCTCTCGAATCTTCCCGGTTCAATTTCGAGCTCGTAAATTTATCACCGGAATAATGGGTGTGCCGGAAACCGACCCTCTTTCTCAGCTGAGCCTGCCGCCGGGGTTTCGATTCTATCCGACGGACGAGGAGCTTCTGGTTCAGTACCTCTGCCGCAAGGTTGCTGGGTACCAATTCAATCTGCAAATAATTGCTGAAATTGATCTTTACAAGTTTGATCCTTGGGTTTTACCAAGTAAGAACCACAATGCATTTTTTAATTTTTCTGTTTTGTCAGCACCCACTTTTGAAATGTTTAACGTGGTGCTAAATTGAACTAAATTCGATGTTGGTTTTACAGGCAAAGCGATATTTGGGGAAAAAGAATGGTACTTTTTCAGTCCGAGGGACCGGAAAT